ATATAGACACACACACACAATCACAAACAACACACGTACTGTATATCATAATATGAATGCATTGGGCACCATTTGAAAAAATGATGATTATTAACTTTCATTCCAATTACTTTGCACCTAAAAATTAAAAGTGATGATTGTGTAGATTGTGTAACACTACCACACTGAACTTGGTGTTCAGTCATTGGACTGATAGAGTTCAAATTGGCTGGTGGTCTATCATGATATAATTCAATTTAGAAGAAAGTTCTATAAACTGAACCAAATAAAATTATCCTATTTATAAATTATAAAATTACCTTAGTAAATAAATAAAATAAAACTAGAAATACCTAATTCAATTTTTAAATTTTATTCCAGAACATAATTTTAAAAACCTAGCTATGGAAGATGATAATAAAAGCCCAGAAAGCACTGTGCAACTTTCTTTAAAGGTAAGCACATATACAGTATATCATAAAGTTTTGAAATATTAACTTATTAAAGTTTTGTAAATTAATATATACTATACTGACCTTCACTTATTACAGTGATGTTGAATGTAACAAACATGGCATAGAGCAACTGCAAATTCTGTACAATAAATTTATTTGTTTTAAACATACTATTTTGATTTTCAATGAATTGCTGCAACAATGTTCTCAAGTACCAAGTATAATACTATTATTATTATTATTGTATACTTATATAGCGCATATCAAACTTCTCTATGCGCTGAAACATCAACTAAAAAATAAACCAAAAACCAAAGATGTGTACTAAACCCTCTAGCTCTCTTCCAAGAAGATGTAGGCCTACACCAAGGTTACCATCGATTGTAGAACAGGATAATGATTCAGCTGATGATTTCTTGTCATCACGTCCTAGTGGTAGTCAATATGTAATTACAGTATAGTATTAATTAACATCACAGTTTGTTTCTTAAAAAGCAGTAAGCCTATACGATGGCATTGTTAGGGTTTTAGTCCAGCTAGAAAAGAAAATATAAACAATCCAGGGATATTGTTCAGTTGAGTAGCTGGTACCATTTAGTGAAAGTGATCATAAGGCATAAGGAATTTTTGGGAGATATTAAAGAACTATTAATTAATGTTCTTCATTTTCCCCTAGCCTTCACTTAGATATACAGACAGTGCAGATGGAGTTCTAGAACAAATGCAGTCCGTGTTTGGAGATGTGAAGTTTAATTTCTTACAGGTACTATAACAAATAGAACTAATAGCATTTAAAACTTTAGAAAATTTTAACCATTTAATAAGTTCAAACTTTTAAATAAGTAAGTCATTCTAAAAGAAGTTTTTCAGGTGCATTTGATTGCACCAACCACAAACTTTATGTGAAAAAAAAATTTCCCATTTCACAAATTGCAATTAAAGGATTGTTTTTAAAAGCTAGTAAAATAATTTTATTCCTGATGTTACTTTTATTGTTGAAAGTATCATCTGCATTTGATGCATAGACATTGAGGTTTAGCTACATAAACGATTTGTTTTGGTGCTTAAATTAAAGGTGATGAATTCATTTCCCAGGCTTTGAATATAAATTAAATAGTTAATACAATGGATCTATTGCTACATGTTTGTTTAATTTCTCATTAAAAGAAAACACAATATGCCACATAATTTTTGCCCACCACCCTTGTGTCCTTTGTATGTAAATTACTCACCACCACCATTACGTAATAAGGTAAATATTGTTTATTATTTTTTAAACCAATTATATTTGTTGTAAAGAAACTTTTTTTTTAATAAAGGTAAAACCATTTGTGACCAGATTCAAATCTGAATGCCTCGATATTTATACAAGTTCATACCATGCTTTCTATTTTACTTACAGTAACTGCTTTAAAATATACATTAAATCAAGTACAGTAAGTTATAGTACATAATCTTATTTAAAAACTTGACTTTTACACAGTCTGAAGCACATGCCACACCCTGTGAGCCTACCCAAAACCAAACATTAACCAGTGACTGCATAACGCTCAGTGATGATGAAAACTTGCCGGACATTAGTTTCCATGGCCCTACAGTGGAATTTAGACCATAAGTACAGGCTATAAAAGACATCAGTTATTAAGTGGTACTACTCCACTCCAAAACTACACACCTCCATTCCAGTGTCATATGATTCGTCAGGTTTTTTAGATTTATTCAATGAAAATTATAGAGTATTTGTGACAAAAACAAATGCAAAACATTACACTCATACATTACGGAGTGCCGTTTGAGACATGTATGATTATGTTACAATTTTGCCATTCTGTGGGCACAATTTTTACTTTAAAGAAATTCTGTAATATTGAAAAAGGAAAATTAAAAAAAATTGAAGATAAAATTTTTTTTAAATTTTAAAAAAATTTAAAAAGATAAAATTCTGTGAATATAATTTTTTTCCTGAAGAAATTGTTTAATCATGCATGAACAGCAGTGGCCAATCAAATGTGGGAGTTTGGTATTTAAAACAATTACGTGATTATACTGATTTTTATCTTGCATTGTATACATATATATATATTTGTTGTTGTACAGTAGAAGCATTTTATTTTGATCAATGATTTGACCCTACTGCCTCATTCGACAAATATGTAATGTAACTTTACAAAGAGCCTTGTCACTTGCAATAATACTTTTTGATAGTGTATTCATTCTTGATAGAAGATAGTGCGATATATTCCTATAAATTACAAATAGTCACGATTATTATACACATACACATGGTTGTTAATATTATGTTATTGTATAGTAAGAAACTCACTTACGTTAAAAACGTCTGATAATGGAGTATATCTACGAGGCTTAGTGATATCTGAGAAACTTTAGTGTAAACAGTAAGAATTAGCCCGCTTAGCGGGATTGCTGGTGAGATTTCGACGAGTGAGGATAGACAGCAATCCACTGAGTTTTGGAGAACAAATTACGGTGTATCAACATTGCTACTGGGTTACTCTAGGACTGTTGTTAGGGTATTCAGAGTTGAGGTTAACAGTATATTCAAAGTTGAGGTTCACAGTATATTCAGAGTTGAGGTTCACAGTATATTCAGAGTTGAGGTTCACAGTATATTCAGAGTTGAGGTTATTATTGTTGGTACTAGATACCCATGAGTGTTCAGTTGGGTAAGTCTGGATGGCCAAATTGTTTTTTTAATGATTATTGCTAAAGAGCCTAATTTTAGATTGATGTTACCTTATACACTTTTAAATTCTATGTCATTATGATTTAATTCTATGAATGCATAATTGTTGGCTATGATGATGTTTAAACATAATGATAGTGATGGTAACACTATGTTTTACTAATTAAGAACTTATCATTATTGTGTGCGGTTTTGTTGCTTTTCTTGTGGTTGTGGCATCCTGGACGAGAAAATCGCATCACGACACAAATGTATAGAAATCCATAACATTACACACATACATGAAATTCATACAATTTTTGTGTCTACTGCCACCAACGGTGGCGTAGACACCTAGGTGCAATGTGCGAATAAAGATGGCGGATATGCCGCCGGGACTTACTGTTCGTTTTCACCTTCATGGTGGATTGATGTGACACGTCTGAAAACCCAATCGTAGTTGTGTGAAATATACGAACTTCAATTGTAGTTGCGTGAAATATACAAGCTTTTTCGACTTTTAAAAGAAAATTACATTAACACAAATGTTACATCTAAATTCCAAAATATGGTAGTATATGTTTTATGTTGATTTGTTAAATGGTCTTAGTTAATGATATTACAAAATAAAAGATTTCGACCATTACTATTATTTTATGGTAATAGTTTTATTCTTAAATGCATTTCAATAATACAACTCTAACCAAAACAAAACTTGGTAGGCCTATTATGCACTTTCACCAGCTAGGAAACTAATTAGATATGTATAAATGCCTTCTGTGATTGGTTGATCGTCAACTTTTCAATGCTTGGTGGATATGATGCTTTTTTCCAGATCTTTTTGCTTAGGTGTATGGATATAATGCATAAATCTCATATTAATTTCATATTTTTAAACATTTTTTGGGGTATGTGATCAATTCACATGATAGATTACATTCATGGGATGCCCCTAAGCCAAAAATCTAAAAAATGGATATACTGTAATGCATTTTTCCGAATCATGGCAGTACAGGATGCCTTCAAGGGGCATACTCGAACACTTTTTTTCCCAAAACAAGTACAAAATTTGTCCATATCACATCAGAATTAGACATCAAATATGATATTTAAGGATGTATATGTGGCAAAGACAAGCCAAACCAGTCACTTGTCGCAAATCGTGTTTCAGAGAAAATGGCCAAAACATGCTGGAATGTCAAATTTTTAAAAATCAATTTTATTGCACTAAACTAACATTTATATATCTACACATCATTCTATGCTGTTATTTTCCCCATTTTCAATGTTAAAACAATACTTTTTAAGGATTTAAAGATAGTTTGTGCATGAGAAATGCCTGAAATCATAAACTTTGACGGTTAATTTCTCATATATTGTACTTTAAACAGCTGTGTGGTTAAACGCTTGTAACTTCATAAGGAAATCATATTCCCTTAACATATTTTGTCAGTTTCTTGTGCTTAAAACTTTTTATCAAAATTTTAGATGGTGCAGATAGGCATAATCTTAAAAAATAATGAAATATGCAAATACTAATAAGACAATCAGGTTATTGCATACCTGTGTATATAAATTCATTTCGAAAATATTAATTTTGTATTTGTTTTTCTAGCACTGAACAAAGGATAGTATGAGGTATCTGGCAGGATGATAGCATACTTCCTTATGCATAGAGGGCCATCACCAAATTTTCTAAGCAAGACATGCTATACGGCTATTGTTAAAGGCCTACCAGCTGCAGCTGCTGAGGTCAAGACTGATGACATCGGGGATGAAACATTGAAAAACAACATTAAGAATGTAAGTAGAGTTGAATTTGCCTACACAAGAACTTTTTGATATTTTCTTTTCTGGTAATTATTCTCAGATATTTTTAGAATGTGACCTTATGTTTATAGAATTGAACGTGAAAAATGTGGACCATCGCCAAAAATCAAGATGGGAAATTTTGAGTTACAGTAGTAGCCATGAACACGTATCACTTACCTGTATGATTACTTTTTTATTACTGCCTATTATTTTGTTGAGTTTAAACTATTTTATTTTATTTTATATCTTTGTACTTTAGCTATCTCAAGCAACCGATGAAAGTCGTTATGAGGAAGCAGTGGATGCATTAATGGACGCCATCCAAGTGGCTGGGTTAGTTCCTCTGTCAATGAAAATTGACAACAAGGAAGATCTGGCCAACGCTCTTACACGTTTTGTTGTGCTTGACAAAGCTGCCATAGTTTATGACAGGTAGGTACCAGCATTCTGATAATGTTTGTAACATTCATTGATGACAAAAGCACAGGCTTAAATGTTGAGAGGTGAAAGTATCAACCATCCTTCAGGTTTCGAGATGGGCTTGCTCAATTTGGTCTTCTGAATGAAATGCAGGCAAAGCCAACTATTATGCAACAGCTTTTTGTTTACAATGCAAACAAGGTAACGGCAAAAGATTTCCTCTAACTGTTGACAATCAAATGTTCGGAAAAGGGCAGCAATAGACAGCAAAGTAACAATCTATGAACTCAATCAATGAATAAATTATTCAACAATACAGTATATTAATAGGGTTCTTAATGGGATAAAGATAATGTGTGCAATAAAATATACTTTCTTAGTTTTATAAAACATTTCATAGCAAAATAAAAGCAATTCAAATAAATAACGAGGCCAGAACCTTTAAAATGGAAAGATCTTGAAGTATTTCAGTTACAATTACATATGTAACAGTTAACAATATGGCAGAACTGATCGTATTCACCAATAAATTTTTTTTTAGCATAATTAGCAAAACCAGACAAGCTTTGCGTTAAAACCTTAGAAATAATAAAATTTGGTGTTGTATCAACGATTCTTGAAATATTATATCTAATGCATTTGGTTGAAAAAACATGATTCACTTTCGGTATTTGGAAATTGTTCCTACCACGTGTATAGTAACTATGTATATCATTAAAAGATGTCGGAATCATACTTGTGAAATATAAAGGAAGCTGATCATTTTTTAATTTATGATAGAACTTAAGGGTTTGAAGCTTATAAATATCACTTATTTTCAGTAAATTTTTTTTTGTAACTTGTAGAGTCTAGTAGTATTGCAACCCCAAAGTAAAATTTCGATATCAGTATCTGCAATTTTCAGTTTAGGTAATTCTATTTTCTTTTGAGGTTGATAAAATACTTGGCATTTTGTTTTCGTTATATTGAGAGACAATTTATTTAATTTTAGCCATTGCCAAGCTTTGTTAAGTTCCATATTAACATATATATATCTGTCATAGTCTCACTTTCAATATTATCATTATTAAAGTTTTTAAGTATGCTTATGAGAGTTGTATCATCAGCATACATAATTGCTTTGAAAAGCTTACTGGCAACTGATAAATCATTAATATAAATTATAAACAGTAACGGTCCAAGGATAACAGTCATTTCAGACAATATATTATCAACTTCTACATATTGAAATCTATTAGTTAAATAGCTTTTACATAGTTCAAAAGCAGTATCTCTAACACCATAGTATCTAAGCTTATGCAATAAAATGTTATGATCCAAGGTATCAAATGCTTTTGATAAGTCAATTCTGTGGAACGTTTTTCACGGAAACTATATTGATCTTCGTAAGAAAGATTTTTGTTTTGAAAATAGTTATACAATACTGAATACTGGTACTGAATGTATTCTTAATGAAAGGATACGCTCTCAGACAGCACAGGGAACTAAGGTGTTCCTCTCTTGTGATGCAAAATGCCTAGATGCAATAGTTGGCGGGAATGTGGGTCCGTTGACGAAAGAGGGGTTCAATATCTATATGAATTGTTCAAAAGAAAACAACACGAAGTATGATGCTGCAACTGGACTTCGATCAACCATCCCAAAGGCAATCAACCACGTGCATCCGGAACGTATCTTTGATATTGAGGTTGGAAATATGGGGCTATGTATCGATCATGCTATCAGCAGAACAATGGAGTATGAGCTTGAGAAGTTGGTTAATGAAGTTCACCAGTAAGTATTATTTACAATGTTTTGTTCAGATTCTACTTTTACATATTAATTATGGTTGCAATACAGTATGAAATGCCTGATTGTTTCAAAATGGCCGTCCAATACGGAATGGTTAGTAAATAATTTGGGAAATGTAATATTAAAGTCGCCATACTGTAGGTAATTCAATAGGCCTGATATATTGTAAATTGATTAAAATGCACCCAATAATACTGTTTTTTTCTACATTAGGACAACTTCCTTAATTGCAGGCTGGAAGAGAGGGAGTTTGATTACGTTCTGTAAGGTTAAGGAGGCTCGAAGTTAATATCAAAGCATGTGGTGTACAACGGGATAAAGACGGCGGGTTTCACATTCGCTTTGATGAGAATGATAAACTTCAAAAGCTTTTTTGCATACGAGAATGAGTGCTCATTCACGGATATATTTGACAGAGTCCTCCCCGACGAAAATTTTCAACACAATTTGCCAGCCGATTTGCAAACATTGTTAGAATTACCAATGCCATCTGTCAGCTACAAGAAAGTACATCAATTGATCAATTGAACAGTACACGAGACACTCCGATTTATTTCATCAACTTCAGGTGTTCCAGTTTGGGAATAAATTTTTCCCGTATGAAATGAAGCTAATTGATGTTGTACCCATTCTCCTTAAATCTCTTCCTTTCCACAATCTGATGCCCTTATCGACTGAAGGAGGAAAGGAAGACCCAATATTGAAGATATTTCAGTGGCAGTGGAGAAAGCTTGTCCATGAAATATCTCAATGTTCAGATATTGTGCAGGAGCATTTAAAAAAATTAGTGAGAGACTCCATGGGCCCCGGGGATGACAATGACTCTAAACATGATATAGATGACGCAATAGGCCCGAATAACGATGACGACAATGTAGAGCAACAAGTTAACTCTACCAACCAAAACAGCGCTACCAAACAACAATTGAATAGTGAACCAGCAGCTGAACATCCATCGACTTTTGTACTCAATTGAAAAACAGTCGTATCACAGAAAGTCTACTTTGCCATCCCCATGTATACCACATCATAACCTAATTGTTGTGTCAACCCAAAAAGAGTGCGACAAGGACCATGGGAAAGTACCAAATTTGCTTGCAGAGGCGGCACGACGCGGTGTCACAGTTGTTAGCGATAGTTTTCTTAAAGATATATATATCTCTTTATATATTGGAAACCTAACCCATCAACCAACTGTCTAAGATGTGTATAAGAGACAGGTAAAGGAACTGAGAAAGCCAGTTTTCGATATTACGAAGTTCGATGGGGACCCAATCGAATATCGAAAATTCATGAGGCAATTCACTGCTCGAGTTGTAGGGTGTACAGACACAGATGATGAAAAGCTGTACTACTTGGAGCAGTTTACAAAGGGCGAGGCTAATAAAGGTACTGGCTTTAGTTACTTGGACTCCAAGACGGCATATTCAGCAGCAATGAAGGAACTGGAAGATCGCTATGGAGATCAAGATGTCATCGCAAATGCCTTCATGAAGAAAGCTCTGGCTTGGCCCCCAATCAGGAGCGATAATCCTAAATCTTTGGATGTATTTTCCATTTTCTTATGTGAGTGTGAGAGTGCCATAAAATGCATCAACGCGCTAGGAGTTATGGAGTACTCAGAAAACATAAAGAATATTGTGAGAAAGCTCCCATACTATTTGCATGACAGGTGGAGGTCCTTGGTAAGCAAACTCAAAGATGAAGGCAAGACTGTTAAGTTTCATGATCTTACCCAATTTGTCAAGAAAGAGGCCAAAAAGGCAAACGACCCCACGTATGGGAAAGCAGCATTATCTGTGAATTCAACCGACACAGGAAAAAGAGGCTCATTTCATAACCAAAGGGCCAAGGGAATCTATGCTACAAAACTTGGCGACAACAAGGAAACCAAAGCACAGTCTAACAATACATCTGTAACACCCAATCCAGTTCGGACATGCTACATTTGTAAGAAGGGAGAACATAGGGTAGACAAATGTGGTGTGTTTTTGGCCAAGACCATTCAAGACCGCATCAACCTCGTAAAGGAAGCAGGAATGTGTTTTGGTTGCCTGAGGCACGGACATAGATCAAAGGAATGCAGAAATAGAGGTACCTGTCAAAAGAGCCATAAAAGACATCCGACAGTTTTACACCGTGATAAAGTGCCTGCTTGTAGAGTTGAGGTAGAAAGGCCAGAGAGTTCGAAGGATATGGTACTCGATATCACAGGATCAAACCCATCGTGCCATACAGGGGCCGGTAATACAATTTGTACCATGGCCATTGTACCAGTCCTAGCAAGGTCCAAACGCAGTGGCTTGTCCATTGAAACATACGCCTTCATGGACCCTGGCAGCAGCGTTTCATTTTGTACTGATGAGTTAAGAAAAAAACTCGGCCTTGGAGGCAGGAAAGCAAGGATTACCCTGGACACTATGGGTACATCCCATACACTTGACACACGCATAGTGACGGGCATCGAGCTTAGAAACCTGGAAGCCACACACACACTCGAGTTGCCGAATGTATACTCCAAAGGCTCTATGCCTGTTTCACATGTTCATATTCCTCGGAAAAAAGATATCGAAGAATGGCCACACATGGAAAGAGTACAGTTGCCCGACATCGATGCAGAAATAGGGCTCTTAATAGGTAATGCTGTTGCTGAAGCGTATACCCCACTGGAAATTGTCACTGGACCTCCTGGAAGTCCATATGCTTCCAGAACTGCTTTGGGGTGGATACCATGGAATGTTGTTAGAAAGGGCAACAGCAACGAGTACAAGACTGACAGTTATCCATCCAACCGTGCGGAAGTAACAGCAATTGAGGAGCTGGAAGAAATCAAGAAACTGAATCACGCAGTGACAAAGGCAATGCAAATTGATTTCCCGGAGAATGGCAAAAATGAAAAGTTGGAAATGTCACAAGATGACCGCACATTTCTCAAGTTATCTAATGACAATATGAAGTTCAAAGATGGTAAATTTGAAATACCACTTCCATTCCGAAACCGAAATCATCTGATGCCTAATAACTATTCATTGGCCGTCAAGAGACTTTCATCACTGCGAATGAAGATGCAAAGAAACGCAGACTTTATGAAAGATTATACAACCTGTATGGAAAATATGATCGAAAAGGGGTATGCCTGATGAGAACAACTCACGTATATGGTATATACCACATCATGGTGTATACCACCCCCAAAAGGCAAACAAATTTCGAGTGGTGTTTGACTGCGCAGCCAAGTTCCAAGGGATTTCCTTGAATGATATGTTGCTGCAAGGTCCTGACCTGACGAACAGTCTCATTGGTGTGCTAGTAAGATTCCGGCAGCATGAGATTGCTCTTATGTCAGACATTGAAGGAATGTTTCTTCAAGTGAAAGTACCAGAAGCAGACCGTGATGCCTTACGTTTCCTTTGGTGGGAACATGGAAACCTAACCCATCAACCAACTGTCTACAGGATGACGTCCCATTTATTTGGTGCCACGTCATCTCCGGCAAGCGCTAATCTAGCGCTAAAGAAGACAGCAGAAAACAACCAGCACAAATATAGCAAGAAGGTAACTAGATGTGTATAAGAGACAGATCATTAACAGAACTTATCAGGATGAGTAGGCCTACTATCAGTAAAGATACAGATGTATCTAAAGACGAAGAAGCAAAGAGAGAAAGAGTAATGACCGAAAAGGGATTGGCGTACATGATAAAAACCAAGAAGAAGAAACGTGACGCTTTGGTTCAAGAATTAAAGAAGGCCCAAGTGGTAATAGAAGGACTGGAGGCTACTGATAGATCGGAGATGCAGGATGAGTATAAATCATGGCTCATGCTTTATGAGGCATTTCTACTTGAGCATGACGAGCTAACAAAGCTGCTAAATGAAGAAGATAAACATTATGATTATTGGCGATACTTCGATCCAACCGACAGTGCTCTGAAACTGTTCAAATCTCAGGTAGAAGGTATTCCCAAGGAAGAGCCACAACCATCGGTTGACCCTACAGACAGCGTTTCACAAATCCGTTCACATTACTCTAGTAAAAGCCGACGGTCCAAGGGGAGCCAAAGATCGTCACTGTCTGCTGCTAAAGTAAAAGAAATTGAAAAGCAAGCCGAAATAACTGCAGAGATGGCTGCCTTAGAGGAACGGGCGGCAATAGAACAGGCCAAGTTAAACTTGAGGATGCAGGAAGCTAAACTTGACCTGAAGACAAAACTGCAAGCTTTGGAAGCCAAGCAAATTGCTCTTGAAGAATGTGAAGATGCACTCTCGACCAATAGCAGAATTACTCGCTGCAGTATTGTCTCATCACAGCAACGAACTCAAACAGGCTGCAACGTTCAGGCGGAGAGTTTTATACCTTACCAGGCTAACGAATCACCACATTTTCCAAGGGCTGGTGGTGTATCAACATACCAC